AAAGGAAATAGTAAAGATCGGAGCAGAAATAAATGACATAGAGACCAAACTATTCAAAGGATCAATGAAACAAAGAGCTGGTTTTTCAAAACGATAAACAAGATTGATGGACCCCTAGCTAGACTCACCAAGAAACAAAGAGAGAGAACCCAAATACACAAAATCAGAAATGAAAGAGGAGAGGTAACAACTGACACCACAGAAATACAAAAGATCGTTAACAACTACTATGAACAATTATATGGCAACAAATTCAACAGTCTAAGCAAAATGGACAAATTTCTAGAAACACACAGTCTCCCAAAACTACACCGGGAAAAGATAGAAAACTTGAACAGACCAATAACAACAAAGGAAATTGAAGACGTAATCAAGACTCTCCCAGCAAACAAGAGCGCAGGCCCAGATGGCTTCATGGGGGAGTTTTACCGAACATTCAAAAAAGAACTAACACCCATTCTCCACAAACTATTTCAAAAAATTTCAAGAAGAAGGAAGACCTTCAAACACGTTCTATGAGGCCAGCATAATTCTAATTCCAAAACCAGAAAAAGACACTACGAAGAAAGAAAACTACAGGCCAATATCCCTGATGAACACAGACACCAAAATCCTGAACAAAATACTAGCTAATCGGATCCAGCAATACATCAAAAAAATTATTCACCATGACCAAGTGGGATTCATTCCAGGGATGCAAGGCTGGTACAATATTCGCAATCTATAAATGTGATACACCACATAAACAAAATGAAGAATAAAAACCACATGATCATATCAATAGATGCTGAAAAGGCATTCGACAAAATCCAGCATCCATTTCTGATAAAAATGCTCAGCAATGTAGGAATAGAGGGATCATATCTCGACGTAATAAAGGCCATATATGAAAGACCTACAGCCAACATCATACTCAATGGACAGAAACTAAAAACATTTCCATTAAGAACAGGAACAAGACAGGGATGCACACTTTCGCCACTCTTATTTAACATAGTACTGGAAGTCTTAGCAACAGCAATTAGACAAAAAGGAAACATAGCCCTGGCCGGTTTGGCTCAGCGGTTAGAGCGTCGACCTGCGGTCCACAGAGGCCCGGGTTCGGTTCCCGCTAAGGGCTTGTACTTTGGTTGCAGTTGGTCCCTGGCCCTGGTAGGGTCATAGGGGTGGCAGCCACTCGACGTGTCCCTTTCACGTCGATGTTTCTCTCTCTCTTCCTCTCTCTCCTTCCCGCTCTATCTGAATAAAAAAGTGGAAAAATGTCCTCGGGTGAGGATAAAAAAAAAAAAAAAAAAAAGGAAACATAAAAGATACCCAAATTGGAAGGGGGGAAGTGAAACTGTCATTACTGGCAGATGACATGATATTGTACATAGAAAACTCTAAAGATTCCATCAAAAATCTACTAGATTTAATAAACGAATTTGGCAAAGTAGCAGGATACAAAATTAATGTCAAGAAATCAATTGCATTCTTATATACCAATAATGAACTCACAAAAAGAGAAACTAAAAAAGTAATCCCATTTACCATTGAAACAAAATAACTAAGATACCTAGGAATAAACTTAACTAAAGAAGTAAAGGACCTATTTGCAGAAAACTACAGGACATTGAAAAAAGAAATGGAAGAAAATATTAAAAAGTGGAATCCTATACCTAGTTCATGGATTGGAAAAATTACCGTCATTAAAATGTCTATACTACCGAAATCAAGCTATAGATTCAATGCAATCCCCATTAAAATACCAACAACATATTTCACAGAACTAGAATAAATACTTCAAAAGTTTATATGGAACCAAAAAAGACCCTGAACAGCCACAGCAATCTTAAAAAAGCAGAACAAAGTAGGAGGGATCACAACACTGGATATCAGGTTATACTACAAAGCCACTGTAATCAAAATAGCCTGGTACTGGCACAAGAACAGGCATATTGATCAATGGAACAGAACAGAGAACCCAAAAATGGACCCAAGACAATATGCTCAATTTGACAAAGGTGGCAAGAGCATACAATGGAGTAAAGACAGCCTCTTCAATAAATTTGTCCTAAATAGATCTCCAAACAGGACATACAAATGGCCAAGAGACATATGAAAAAATGCTCATCTCTAGTCACCAGAGAGATTAAATTAAAATGACTATGAAATATCACCTCACACCTGCGAGAATGGCTACTGTCAACAAATCCTCAAACAACAAGCGCTGGTGAGGGTGTGGAGAAAAGGGGACTCTAGTACACTGCTGGTGTGAATGCAGACTGGTGCAGCCACTGTGGAAAACACTAAGGTGCTTCCTCAAAAAATTAAAAATGGAACTGCCATTTGACCCAGTGATCCCACTTCTAGGACTATATCCCAAGAAGGCTGAAACACCAATCAGAAAGAATATATGTACCCTCATGTTCATAGCAGCACTATTTACAATAGCTAAGATCTGGAAACAGCCCAAGTGTCCATCAGTAGATGAGTGGATAAAAAAGCTGTGGTATCTATATACAATGGAATACCATGCAGCTATAAGATAGGTCTCTTTCCCTTTGAGATGACATGGAGAGACCTGGAGAGTATTATGCTAAGCGAAATAAGCCAATCAGAGAAAGACAAGTACCACATGATCTCATTTATGGAACATCATGAACAAAATAAGCTGTTGATCAAAATAGATCCAGAGTCATGGAAGTAGGGAACAGACTGACAAACCTCAGAGGGGTTGGGGGTGCGGGTGGGAAGAGATAAACCAAAGAACTTATATGCATATATGCGCAACCAGTGGACACAGACATTAGGTTGGGGAAAGCAGGTTGGGGGCGAGAGAAGGGAGGAGGGGGTCAATGGTGGAAAAAGGGGGACATCTGTGATACTTTCAACAATAAAAATAATAAAAGGAAAAAGAAAAAGAAATGTTGGACTTGTTAACTCAACATTCCTTGTGAAGGAAAAGATAATGTTGGTAAAATTAGCAAAATGGAAGAAATATGAAATATAGATATAGAAGGGGGAAATGAGATTCAGAAAGATCTGAATAATTTGTTTCTAAGTGTTGAGTGATTTTACAGAAAATCATGTTTAATGATTCAAAAAGTGGTTTGAAGAAACAAAACTTTACCCCCGAAAGCCATAAAATTTTCCAAAATATTAAGGTGTAACATAAAGTAATGAGTCAGCCTTTAAAACAGGTAAATGAAAATGTACTATCTCATAAACTTTGATGGCTTCAGTCAGGCTCATGATCCTCATATCTATTAACCTCAATTCAATTTCCTCTCCAAACCTAAATCCCAAGAGCCTATGACTATTTCAACGACCTGTCCCAAAGCCACGTCAGTAGTCTTCGCTCGAGCCTGTTCTGTTTCCCGGGTGTCCTGCTTCACGCTCGGCAACTCTTCACGGGGTCCCCCAGGCGGAAAGCACTTGTCAGTCCTACTCCCTTAACAGGCCGACGTCTCTCCCGGACAAGGCCCTGTCCTGACACAGTTCTTCCTGCTCTCCTCCTGACTCGTGTCCTTGTCACTATTCTCATTTCCCTATAATCCATCTTTTACATGGATTAAAAGTGCCAAAATATTTCTTTTAAAACAAAGATCTTATTTAATATTTCCTTTACATTATTTCATAGATTTAGTATATCGATAGTCAAAATTGAACATTCCAGATATTTTTATAGTTTGTTGCTTATCTATCCCATCTCATCTTTTGCTCCTCATCCCCACGCCACACTTGCCTCTTTGCAATCTGTTCTCTGGACATGCTAAACTGTCAAGAAATCCCGTGACATTCTCTGATGAAAACCACTGGGCTTTCATGCAAGTTGCTCTACCTGTGTGAATTCCCCTTTCTACAAAAGGGATTCTGCCTGCCTGAATCACCCTTTCTCTTACTGTACCCTTTCTCCAAATCTCTTCCTGGCTAAGTCCTGGTCCATCTTCAGGGCCATCCAAGCCCCATCACCTCCTGGAAAGCTTTCTAGGTCTGCCTCCTCACCTAATCCAATCCCAGGTGTTCCTGCCAAACTCCAACTGCACCCTGTGCAGACATCATTATGGCACTCAGCACACTCTACCTTAAAGCACCTTTATTTATCTTTCTCCCAATTATACTACAGGCTTTGGAAGGCATGCCCACTCCTCCTCTGTTTCTAACATAATATATCTGGAACATGTCAATAATGTTTGTTGAATGGGTGGATGGATAAATGAACACATCAGTTCCCTTAGAGAGTGGCAAGGCCTTATTCCGGTGATACTGCCTTTGCTTAAGACATTTGTGGAAAACAGTTTTGGAATTGCCTTCAGAATCACTTTATGAGCAAGAAAAGAATACGGCTAGCCCTGGCCGGTTTGGTTCAGCGGTTGGAGCGTCAGCCTGCAGTCCAGAGAGACCTGGGTTCGGATCTCGCTAAGGGCATGTACCTCGGTTGAAGTTTGTCCCTGGCCCTGGTTGGTCGTGCGGGTGGCAGCCACTCGATGTGTCCCTTCACATCGATGTTTCTCTCTCTCTCTCTCCCTCCCGCTCTATCTGAACAAAAATGGAAAAATGTTCTCGGGTGAGGATAAAAAAAAAAAAAGAATACGGCTATTTCCCTGCCTTTTTGGCAACACCTTTTATGTTGTAGTTTGAACAACAAAAACTGAGGGATGGAGATTTTCATTCAGCTTTCTTTACCAGCTCCCTATGGTCCAGTCTCAATGGCTAAGAACGATGTACAAATGTGCATCTAGTTCTGAACACAATTACAAAGGCACTTTTAATGGAAGAGACAAATTGCCTCCCAAGGTGGCTACCTGAAAATATAAGTTCTGGTGTGCTTTTAAAGTCAGCCTCACTGCTTTATTACCATGCTTCACATTTTGACATGTGAATTAGTTGTCAGTGCATGTTAATCACAAATTCATGAGAGAAAGACCACACATTTCTTAAGACTACCCTAAAATATTTCAAGATCAGATTTTAAAGTTTCAGCTCTCTAGAAAAAGATTTGAAAGAATCCTATTCTTTTATTCAGACTCTAGTGTAACCAGCTTTTTTAGACCACAGTTCTCAGAACTCACCTTCATCGCCAGACTCTCTCCGAGGGATGCAGTAAACGCAGACATTTCATCAAGGCATTCCTGCAGGAGTTCACCTGCCTTAGCCAGATGGTTGAGGGATTCATTAAAAATGCTGATTTCTTCTGGCTGGGCACTACTTTGCCTTGTAGAGTTATCTAAATATGTAATCATCAAGGCATTTTTTAATCAAGATAATTTTTTTCAGTTCAAGCAGATTGAAATACTTTTCAAAAGAAGTTCTCCTAGATCATATTCAATGACTAAAAATAAGCCCTGCGTCCCAAATAAAAACATGGCTTCTGTTGTTAGTGATTAAAAACTAAGATGAATCATGAAACTCTAAATGACTCATAAATGTACCTACAACTACAACATTTGAATAAAAATAGCAAAGGAAACCTCTACATTGCAAGTTCTCAAAGTACATTTACATGCGTGGTGGGAGGAGAGCGTGGGTGGATGAAGGTAGGTGGAATATTAAACCTCCATTTCCTCCCCCTAATTTCCCCTCCCTCTATATAAGTTGGTAACAGATCTTAATAAAATATTCCGTTAAGTCATGTTCAGAGTCAAATGTCCAGTAATATTCTAGTCCACTATTTTTCTAAAAATTCCTAGAAAAAGATCATCCCAGGACGTCTGATCTGATTTGTGAAAACACTGGCAAGCCAATGTCAATGCTGAAGGCCTAACCAATAGTATACAATAATAGTTTTCAAACTGTGGTTTCTCAACCAGCACCATCAGCAACACCTAGGAACCCCGATCCTCCTGAATCAGATACTCTGCGTTGGCACAGCCATTATGTTTAAACAAGCCCCCTCCCATGTGATTCTAATGCACAAAACAGCCTGAGAACCCCTTGAGGAAACTGGTAAAGACACCAAAGTCTTGGCCATATCCTCCTCCAAGGAGCCTGGCCCCAGGGATCTTCACTAGCTCTCCAGCTGATTCTGAGACACATCGAAATTTGAGAACCACTGGTCCAGAGCTGTACTAGGGAAGCTCTGCTAGACTAGACCTCCAGGTGACTCCCTGCCAATGGCCCTGCAGTGCAGCACTGAGAGGCAGTATCGCGTGCCAAGAGACGATCTACACGGTACTTGGGAATACATCAATTCCCAACTATGCCCTCCTGTACAGTTGGGCCCACAACCTGGGCATGTGCCCTGACTGGGAATCAAACCAGCGACCCCTTAGTGCATGGTCAGTGCTCAACTACTGAGCCACACCAGCCCAGTCATAGCCAAACTTCTTAAGAGACTTCTATTCTCTGCTGTCTCTACTTCCTCACTTCCCAGTCATTTCTTAATCTATTCCATCTTCCACATCAAACACTCTATCCAAACTGTCAATATTACCACACCTCTAAAGTGCCAAATCCAATCAATATGTTTCATCTTCATCTTATTTTGCTTCTCGAAAGTATCAGACAACTGACGCTACGCTCCTTTTACACACATTTTGCTCTCTTGCCTCCCCAGATATCACTCACTGACGGGTTTTGTTCCTACTTCTTTGGCTTCTTCTTACTCAGTCCTGGATCCTCTTCTCCTCATTCTCTATATTTCCTCTAGGTAATTTCATGGTTTTAAAATATCCTTTATATGCTGATGTGTCCCAAATGTATACCTTTAGCTTAGGTTTCCCTTCTGAGATAAAAACTTGTCTATTTAACTGCTTATCTTACATTTTTACTTGGACTTAAAAGATCCAAATGTGAGTTTTTCAATATCCCCCTTATATTTATCCTTTAATAGTTCCCATTTCAACAAAAAGCACCTCCACCCACCCAGTTGGTTTTGCCAGTTTTGAACTACATTATAGCAAATGTTAAAAATATCCTGTTTTAAAATGAGATCTTTTATAGTCCTCATCAAAATTTGACTTTAAAGTTATAAAAAAAATAAATTATGACCATATTGTATTCTCATAGAGATCACTGGTAAGAAACATAAGTAGAAGACTTTATAACCCAAGTAATATCATAGATATAGACAAACATCTGTACACTTTCCATCAAAAGTAATAGATGTGTGTATTTCGTTTCATTACAACAGCTATGAAACCGCAACAATTTCACACAAAAGCTTGTAAATTTAAAAGTGACCATCATAAATCATGAAGTGTTGCTGCTTTGTTTAGCTGTTTCTTCACTGAAAAATTTGAAGCCATGTCTAAATATTTATGGTCCCGAATCTAAGTTAAAATGTTTACTATCAAAAAAACCCCACATTTTTCCATAATTGAATCAAACTTGTTTTTTAATCCTCATCCAAGGATAATTTTCTGTTTATCTTCAGATAGAGTGGGAGGAAGGGAGAGAGAGAAAGAAACATCGACGTGAGAGGGACCCATCAACTGGTTGCCTCCCGCACAACCCCGACCAGGGCCGGAGACGTGCCCTTGACCGTAATTGAACCCATGACTCTTTGGTCCACAGGCTGATGCTCTAACCGCAGGGCCAAACAGGCCAGGGCTGAATCATAAACTTTTAATTTAAGGGCATATCTCCAAGTTTATCTATGTTATAACTGAGAAAAGAAAACACTCTTCACTCGGCTAGTGTGGCTCAGTGGTTGAGCGCTGATCAATGAGGTCGCTGGTTCGACTCCCAGTCAGCGCACATGCCCAGGTTGTGGGCCTGATCCCCAGTGAGGGGCATGCAGGAGGCGGCCAATCGATGTTCTTTCTCATCGATGTTTCTATCTATCTCCCCCTCTTCCTTGCTCTCTTTCTAAAATCAATAAAGATAAAAAAAAAAAGCCCTGGCCAGTTTGGTTCAGTAGTTAGAGTGTTGGCCTGTGGTCCAGAGAAACCAAGGTTCAGTTCCCGCTAAGGGCAGTACCTAGGTTGCAGTTTGTTCCCGGCCCTGGTTGGGTCGTGCAAGAGGCAGCCACTCAATGTGTCCCTTTCATGCCGATGTTTCTCTCTCTATCTCCTTCCCACTCTATCTGAAAAAAAAAAAAAGGAAAAATGTCCTCGGGTGAAGATAATATAAATAAAGACAATTTAAAAAAAAAAAAATTTTTAAACACTCTTTTACCAGACTTAAAAAAAAGAAAAGTTACATCAAGAAAAAATAACTCACCAGATTTTTCATGCAAGCACACAATTTTCTCCTGAGTAAGCTGGAGCTCATATTCTTTCTTAGCAAGGTGTCGCCGAGTATCAGAAAGATCTTTTTTTGTATTTTCATATAAAAGTCTGTAAACATAATAATAAAATTCATTCTGAAATTATTGTATTTTATCTTAGTGTAGTTAAATCTAAAAACTTTAAAGAGCACTAATAAACATTTTTCTTTTTTAGTATTTTCCTAAAACCATATTATAGGAAATTTAAAGAATACAGGGTAAAAAGGGGTCCTCAATCCACCACTCCAACATCAGCATTTTCATTCACTATTCAGTGGTTTTTTCATATTTTTCATGTTCAGTGTTATGCATATTATAAATTCAAAATTGAACACTGAGTTTTTCACCTACACTTAATCTTTAATAATTTTCAGCCTAAAATACAGTCCTCCAAATCATCATTTTTCTGGTTGAAAACTAATATATGTGCAATAGCCATTTACTTTTACTTCAGTATTCTATTATTAGATATTTAGGTGCATTTAAGTTTTTCACTATTACAAATAACTCTGTAATGAACAGCATTTTAGTCATTCCATGTTTATTGAGTGTTAGTATGTACCAGGCACTAGGTGTTGAGGAACCTCTAGTGAACTAGGTGGACGCTGGCCCTGCCCTCATAGAGTTCACAGTCAATAACAAGTAAACAGACTATAATGTGTGGCATATGGAAAGTAGATACTCTCAAAGTCCTCTAATATAAAGAAGCATTCTAAAATATAAAGAATCATCCTTTTAAAAGTAGAGCAAAACTTGTAAGAATTAAGGGAAGTCCCCTGGAGCCAAATTAGAGCAATAAGACTATGAACTGACGTTATGGTAAATATGGTTGGGGTTTTCCTGTCTCAGTGGTCTAGGGCCTTGTATCTTAACTGAGAAACAAAAGATGAGGCCATAGAGATGTCTGCAACACAAGTGTTAGAACTCATATCCCCCACATAAACCCACTAAGTACTATAATATAAGCAAAAAGATTAGACTAGACAAAAATCAGCTTGTCAACAACCACTGCTGGGCTCAGGATAATAAAACTAAAAGTCTTCCTTGGGAATTATTAATATCAAGATAAAAAAAAAACAAAATAAAATCTGGTTCTAGGATGATCATATAATCTCGAAAATTTGGCAGAAATAAACAAAAAACTTATCTGGAGGGACATACGCTCAATCCATGCAAAGAACTGAAACTCAGAATAAAGACACATTGAAAATTAGCTCACAATTCAAATTTTCAAAATGCTTCAAGTAATAACCCAAACTTAGTGGGAGTCAAAGACACACAAACTAAATTAGGTCCCCAAGAACTTCAGATTGTAATTTTTTCAAATACAAACTTAAAAACAGTTGTGTCTAAATACTGAAACATATATTCTTTCTGATTGGTGTTTCAGGCTTCTTAGAGTATATTCCTAGAAGTGAGATCACTGGGTCAAATGGCAGTTCAATTTTTAACTTGCTGAGGTAACACCATAGTGTTTTCTATAGTGGCTACACCAGTCTGCATTCCCACCAGCAGTATACTAAAGTCCCCTTTTCTCCACACCCTCGAAAACATTTGTTGTTTGATGATTTGTTGATGGCGGCCATTCTGACAGGTGTGAGGTGATACCTTGTTTTAATTTGCATCTCTCTGATGATTAGTGACGTTGAGCATTTCTTCATATGTCTCTTGGCCATTTGTATGTCCTTTTTGGAGAGGTGTATATTTAGGTCCTCTGCCCATTTTTTAATTGGGTTCTTTGTCTTCCTTTTGTTGAGTTCATAGCAGCACTATTTACAATTGCTAAGATCTGGAAACGGCCCAAGTGTTCATCGATACATGGGTGGATAAAAAAGCTGTGGTACATGTATACAATGGAACACTATGCAGCTGTAAGAAAGAAAGATCTCTGATCCTTTGAGATGGCATGAAAGGACCTGGAGAGTATTATGCTAAGAGAAACAAGCCAAGCAGAGAAAGACAAATATCACATGATCTCACTTATGTGTGGAATATAATGAACTAAACAAACTGCTGAACAAAATTAACCCAGAGATATAGAGGTGGGGTACTGACTGACAAAACTCAGAGGAGGGGGATTTGTGGGGGAAGAGATAAACCACAGAACTTACATGCATGTATGCATCACCAATGTACATAGACAACAAAGCTGGGGATAGGGAGGGAAGGAAGGGAAGGAGGGTGTTAATGGGGGGAAAATGAGAAACATCTGTAACAAAAACAAATTAATAAATAAAAAAATTTCTAAAACAATAAAGAATAGCTTTATACCTACAATAAAGAATGTTTCCAGTGGCAAACTTAAAAGATTGTTGGCTAAGATATGCACACGTAAAATATGAGATTTTATTTTTTTGACAGTTTTGTATAATAAACATTGAATTTGAAACATGTAATTAAATATCAGTGGGATTTTAGAAACACTATCCTTTGTAATCTAGGATATGTTTGTATTGTGTGAAAAATAATGACTATGTAAAAAATTAAAATAAATAAATAAATAAATAAATAAATAAATACTGAAACATAAAGTAATAAAATACATAATAAAAACAAAAAAGAACGAGGATATTTTTTAAAAGAACCAAAGAGAACTTCAGAAATTAAACTAAAATAATTGAAATAATTTTTAAAAACGTCAATAGATAAGTTTAAGAACACAACAGACACAGAAAAAGAGGCAATTAGTAAGATGGATAAAAAGCAGATCAGCAAAAATTATCTACAATAGAGAACGGAAAAACAAGAGAAAGGTTAAGAAACATGAAGAGAGGGAGAGAGGAAAAATGGCGGCGGAGTGAACGGAGCTACACAGACCGTCTCCCAGAACCAAACTAGAATTACAACTACTGTATAACACAGACAAATTGATGGGAAAAAGCAACAGAAAAGCAGCTAGCGAGGACCATACAACGAGGGACACTGACTCCATCCCGGTAGGCTTGCGAAGGCGCGAGACAGGGGCTGGGAGCCCACGGTCGGCAGCTCGGCAGCTCGGCAGCGGCCTCAGCTCGGGAGCGGCCTCAGCTCGGGAGCGGCCTCAGCTCGGGAGCGGCCTCAGCTCGGGAGCGGCCTCAGCTCGGGAGCGGCCTCAGCTCGGGAGCGGCGCCGGCAGGTCAAACTCCCAGGCGGCTCCACAGTGCAGCCGGGACAGAGGCTGAAACAGCCACAGCCACTCACCTTGGGCTCCAGCAGAGGGAGGGCAGACTGGACTGGAGCTGTGTCGGGACGCTCGGGGTCTGGAGGGGCTCAGAGCTTTTGCTGAGTGCAGCTACGCAGGATGGTGGGCATACTGCTCCTTCCCAGGGCTCTGGGGAGAGGCAGCAGCCCCTCCCTCGGAGATGCAACCCCACCCTGAGGGCCACTGAAGTGCTAATTGAGGTTCATTAACAACCAGCATCTGCCCCACCCTCGGGAAATCCCCTTGTGCTAAGCACCTGAGGGAGCTTTTCAATCAACTGACAACCCAAAACTCATCAAGTAACCTAGACTGCTAGCCTCCAGGCAAAAAGCTAGAGGATAACAGTACCTTTCCTGGGCTGGCAACTTTAACCAGGAAAGTAAGACCTGACAGTGGTGTTTAACGTGGGTCCTCCCTCGCTCATCTAAACACAGGAGAGGGAGCCACAAACAGCAGAACACCACACCCACAGGGAAAACTTGACAGGCTCCAAAGCCCACAGTGATAGCTAAAATGGTGAAACACAGACACAGAAGCCAAATGAAAGAGCAAAAAACCTCCACCGAAGATGAGATCAATGTGGAGCAATTAGGCATGTTAACAGAACTAGAATTCAGAGCCATGATCTTGAGGAAGCTGAAAAGCATGAATAAGGACATAGAGACACTGAAAATAAGCCAATGGGAAATTAAAAACCATCAAGAAGAGATTAAAAATGATATATCAGAAATGAAAAACACATTGGAAGGTTTAAAAAGCAGAGTAGAGGAAGCTGAGGACCGGATCAGTGAATTAGAAGTCAGGGTAGAAAAAAATCAACCAATCAGAAAAACAAAAGGAAAAAACTATTAAAAAACAGGAAGACAGCTTAAGAGAACTATGGGACAACTGGAAACGTAATAATATTCGCATCATAGGAGTCCCCGAAGAAGAAGAAAATGAGCAAGGGATAGAGAATATATTAAAAAAAATAGTAACGGAAAACTTCCCTAATTTGGTGAAGGAAGAAGGCATTCAAGTTCAAGAAGCACAGACAGTCCCAAGTAAGAAGAACCCAAACAGGCCCACACCAAGACACATAGTAATTAAAATGCCACAAATTAAAGACAAAGACAGGATCCTAAAAGCAGCAATAGATAAGCAACAGGTTACCTACAAAGGAAACCCCATAAGGCTCTCAGCTGACTTCTCACAAGAAACACTACAGGCCAGAAGGGAATGGTATGAAGTAATCAAGGTCATGAAAAACAATGATCTGAATCCAAGACTACTCTACCCAGCAAGGCTATCATTCAAAATAGAAGATCAACCTAAGAGCTTCCCAGACAAAAAAAGGCTAAGGGAATACATTAGCACCAAACCAGCACTGCAAGAAATGTTCAAAGGACTGCGGTAATTAGCAAGAGAAATGGGAGGAAAAATAGAACCACACTAAATAAAAATGGCAATAAATAAGTACATATCAATAATCACCTTAAACGTAAATGGATTGAATGCTCCCATAAAAAGACACAGAGTAACTGATTGGATAAGAAAGCATGACTCAGCTATATGTTGTTTACAAGAGACCCACCTGACAACAAAAGACTCACATAGGTTGAAAGTGAAAGGATGGAAAAAAATGTCCCAAGCAAATGGAAAGCAAAAAAAAGCTGGGGTAGCAATTCTCTTATCTGATAAAATAGATTTCAAAATGAAGACCATAACTAGAGACAAAGAAGGCCACTACATAATATTGAAAGGATCTATCCAACAGGAAGATATAACCTTAATAAACATATGCACCCAATATAGGAGCACCAAAATATATTAAAAATCTTCTGGAGGACTTCCAAGGAGAAATCGACAACAATACAATCATAGCAGGGGACTTCAACACCCCGTTGACA